TTTTAATCAACATTATATATTTTATATAAGTTCTATTATTAACATTTATACTAAATACTTCCACCAAATATGTTTTATTTAACTACTACTAAAATTAGTATTAATAACAAAAAAAATATAATATCCCTTATACCTTCCATAATTGTTACTATAATTTCGTAGTATCTACCCTCGGATCACAATCCAATTGCGTTTCCGTTATACCGTAATTATCATATCTGTTCTTACACTTATATCCTATAATTCCTAATACGGTTATTGCTACCATTAGTAACAACATCATTAACCCTATTATTATACTATATTTCATTCTAATTGTTCTTTCTATTTCCGAATTTTCCTTACTGGTTATGGTTGAATTACCACTTTTAATTATTGTAATCTCCGGTTTTTTTCTTTAATATATTGTTCTAAAAGTTGACGAACCTTTGTGTTACTAGGCGTTGTACTTGGTCTATTTTTAATCATCCGCCTTAAAATTTCATCAACATTAATTGTTTGTGTTGTAGGTTGTTGTAATTGACCCTTCGAAAAAAAATTTATTTTTTTCTCTAACCCGTCCCCAGGTATTGTACCACCTCTATTTTCCTTTCTGATTATATTAATTTCACACAATTTTTGTGTATAATATGTTCTAGGTTAATTTATTATATTTTGCATTTCAAGCCGTAATTCAAAAGCTTGACATTTTATTTGAATATTTTTGACCCCGTTACTTATTGAATCGAAATTAAGCAAGTAAAACTCGTCCCTTTTTCTATTGTAATGTTACCGGATAGTAATCCACCCTGAAATTTACATTCTAAAAGTTTACATATTATCTCCTCTTCTAATTCTACTTCTCCGAATGATATTGAAATTAATAACCTATAATATTATTTCTTTATTCAATCACCGTTGTTAAACAATACGTAGTGTTAATTTTCTGCCATGCTATATTAAGTTATATTAGTCTACTAGGAACCGAATCACCTGGTATTAATTACCTTATCCAAAAAAAAACACAAAAAAAATTGTTTACTTATTTTTATATAATTGTTTCTATATATATGTCTTTAATATCTTATCCTCATACATTGATCTACATATTGAATTATTATATCCGGTTCTGGTACCTGGTTCATATAACTGACTAGATCTAAACAACAATATGTACCTAATTTCCCTCTTCTTTTCGACATATCGTATAAAAATGTTACTATGCTCTGCGTAATAGTTCTGATTTTGTCTTCCGAAAATGGATCATCTAACTGGTTATTTGCTACCTCTATAATATGTCCAGGTAAACATTCTGGTGTGTTGCCCTCTGATCTTGTATTATGGTCCCCGTGTAAAATTGTTAGTTCCAATTTGGTACAAAATAATTTGCTCTTATTCCTATAATCAAAATAATCGGTTACTTCATCTTGATCACTTACACTACCTAATCAATATTAACTATAAATGTATATTCTATTTTTATTTATATTTTTTCCTAAAATCTCGTGAGAGCTATTTCCTCGCGATTTCGTATTGTGTCTAAGCCCGTAAACTCTATCATTCGAACTAGGTATCGGTACCTTTCTTTTCTGATTATCCTATAATATTTCACTATACTTGTCATTATTAATAACACGACTATCACTACTACTCCTAGTAGTTAGTACCATACATATTATATATACATGTACTTTGTTTCGTATCTATGTGGAAAACACATAATTAATTTATCCCTTTCCCGACTACTATATTTTGTTTTGTTCACAATCGACTTATCATTTTCCGTTATGCCATAGTCGATTATTGTAGTACTATTCATTACGTTATCGGAATATGTGTTTGTTATTTGTTCAATGTCATAATCTACTGTGCTAGTTTTGTAGTCGTTATTACCTTTGCTTCCCGTAGGTATTACTGACACTCATAGGCGGAGCCACAGGGCGTGCAGGGTATGCAGCTGCACACCCTGATCGCCCCGAAAATCTGCTATAATTTAAAGGTTACATAATACATTTTAAATATTGGATTAACAATATGATTTCCACAGAACTACTGAAAAATTGATTTTTATAAATAAGAACAGAAGAATATTTAAAAAAAAATATTTGATACAAGTGTATCTATATGTAAAGAATTGGATGTTCCAATTCCTTTAATTAATAAAAGAAAAATCTCTTCTCACATAGACAGTAACAAAACACAATTTGTTCAAGAAACTAAAGAATCGGAACTTAGAATAACAGCCTTTTATCTAATGATAGAAGTGATGGTTCATAGTATTGATGAACGATTTAGCCAGGACACTATACAAGCTATACATGCAGTTGATAGTTTACTAAATATGGATATATCGCAAACAGACCTATCATATCTATCAAAAACGTTTCAATGTGATACTGAAAAACTAGAAATAGAAGTAATGCTAATAAAAAATAATTCTACGATTCCAAATAAAGACAGTTTCAGTAATAAAAGTAAAATCCATGAATGGTTAATTTGGCTGAAGTCTAATGACCATTATAAATACTTTAACCAATTTTTTAATGTAATTCAAAAGTTTGTAGTGATCCCAGAAACAAGTTGTACTTGTGAGAGGTCTTTCTCTAAATTGACCCTAGTCAAATCCAAATTAAGATCTACCATGAAGCAAGAAAGATTGAATGCTTTGGTGGTATTGACAGTAGAGCAAGAAATGGCAGTCAATGTTGATGCTGATGCTGTTATAGACGATTTTATAATAGCGGTAGATTTTAAGAGACGAATGTCATTATAATAATTTTGAGTAACGTTTATTTACGTTAATATTATCAATAGGTATGTATGTATTTTTTTTTATTATTATTAGTAATGACAATATGACATAAGTAATGTAGTTATAATATTTTTATAACATACTTCAATATTAATTATTATTAAATATAAAGTGACTATTAAAAATATTTTTGCGATTTTATGAATTAGCTCCCCCTCCCCATTCTACTCCCCTACTAGTGGTGGGCCGATTTAGATTCTGCATATGCTGAACAACACTTCTGGCTCCGCCTATGCCAGAGTGGACCTCCCTGTTGTGCTAGTATCATTAAGTTTCAACTTGTTATTGTCTACCTTCTCCATATCTCCCATCCGAATAAAGGTTACAAAGTATTGTGATTCTATTTCGAATTTTTCATATGTGCCATTTTTTTTTTTTATTAATAGTATTGCACATGATTTTTCCAAAACGTACGCATTTTCACGAGTATTTGGTTGAGCCATACCTCCTCCATATGGAGTGCTACATATACATTTTAATGATTCTATTTTACATTCATTATTCTGAAATTGTGGCATGGTTATTGTATCAGATTGATAATAGTCTATTCCTACCATATTTCTCTTATAATTATTATCGTTCTTATAATAGATTTTTATTTCTGAGCTCCAATCATCCATTTAATTTAAAATAGCTAGTTGAATATTTATTATAGGGTTCGGCGTCACTGAAAATTGTTATAAAATGTGGGACAATTGGTCATGAATACAATTAGTTCAGAGCCAATTTATTTATCATAGGTACCTAATGTAATATTTACCTGTTCAAAATATTATGTAAATGTGTTAGTATAGTTTATTCAGAATTGTAAATTGAGTGGACAACGAATAAATATGAACTAACTAGTATTTTTATAGTATTAGTATTTTATTTGAAATTATAAAAACTTGATGGTTGATCATTAAGTTTATGAATGTTATTGGTGATGTTAGATGGGGGAAAAAACAGCAGGTACAGTCTGTATACAGGGTGATTGATTAAGCGTAAACCACTCATTATCTCAAAAAGTATTCACTTTTTTCAAATTTTTTTTTTTTCAAAATTTTAGATCTACGCTGTTCTCGAATTATATAATTATTTAATATTTTTCACCTTAATATTTATTAGGTAAATCACCATCAACTTTTGATTTTCAAATGTCAACCCATACTAAAAATTTCATAATTTAGTAAGGCTTTTTTTCTTATGAATTATCACGGGTTAAATTTTCATTTTTCGTTTATCCGTTGACGAGATACAACTCCTCAAAGTTGGGGTGTTTTGGTAGGTGTTTGTGTGTAAATGTGTTATACCTAGTCAGTACTGCAGACCTGCAGTAATTGGGATTTTTGTGCTTCAGCGTAAAAAATAATAAACTATTCAAATCAATTCAGTAAGCAGTGGCGTGGCGAAGGATATTTTTTGGGGCAACCGCCCCTAATAAAATTCAAGGTTGGTTGGTTGGTTAGGTCACCCAGTGGTGATATTGAATAGGTATGAACACTAAGAACAGTAAGAACACCATGAACAAAATATATATATAATTGGGTACCTATAAACCTATAACTTTGTACCAGAAAAATGTATTCGCCCCTACATAAAAATCTTGTCGCCACGCCACTGTTTGAGGATGTCCATTCGAGATTAAAACGGGTTTTTTATTTGTGTTATAAGTGATTGCTTGAAATATATTTCAATATCATCTTCAGTGTCATTTATTGATAAATGTTTTTCTATTACTTTTTGTAGTAATGGTCAGACCATTGAAACGGGAGAATACTTTTCATCACAAAATAGTTGCGTTATTATTTGTAGTGGTTTGAGTTTTTTGATAAGAAATTCTACCCTAGCCCATTGGCTCTCTGTAATTTCAAACTTTTGTGCCATAGTTGCACTTGTAATAGTTCGATCAGCTATGACGTTAGCTAATGGAGATCGATTAAGGTATAGACGTTCTAACATCATGAAGGTAGAATTCCAACGTGTCTTACAGTATTGAATCAAAGCCGTTTTTGCCATACCAAGCTGTTCTTGTTTAATTTCTAATGATCGTTTCGCTATATTTGAATGCTTAAAATGAGAAACAAGTTTACTACATTTTTCAACCAATAATTGAATATTATCTTGTCTTAGCGAATGGTTGATAGCAAGTTGAAATGAATGAGCTGCACATGTGACACTGCTAATGTTTGTATCGCTAGATATTAATGAAATGGCATTAACAATGTTCCTAGCATTGTCGGTGACAACAGCTATGACTACTGTTAACTTCCCATTCATTAAATGTATTGCCCAATTGAATTGCTAGATTCTCAGCTGTATGGCGTTCTTCCATTTCATGCGTGCTAAGGGTATAAGAGCTAACGTTCCAATGTAAATCAATTGTATGTGCAGTTACGGTAATATATGAATCCTGAGATAACGAAGACCAGCCGTCAGTTGTACAAACGATACTTTTTGTCTGATGTAGATTTCCCCTTATTTTTGTTTCAACTAACTTTTTTAATCTATTTATTCTAGCTTTCATTGCTTCTTGCTTACAAACTTTATAATTGGGCTCAACGACAGCCATACAATTTTTGAATCCTATGCTCGAACAAAATGAAATTGGCAGTTGATTCATTGATATTAATTTTGCTAATGATTCATGAATCAGTTCTCTTCGTTCGTTACTGCACGCAAATTTAGATTTTTGAACTTTCAATACATTAGGTATTTTGCGTTTTCGACTAACTAGTGACTTATGTTCAACATTTGAGTTAACTGGACCTTCCACTTCACTTATGCCATCAGAGTCATCAGTAGGTAGATAAAGAGAGTTCTGGCGCCTCATCCTGCTGGCAATTTCCTATACCCGTCTGCTCATCCCACTACACCGTCTGCTCATCCCACTATACCCGTCTGCTCATCCCAATACACCAACTGCTCATCCCACTATACCGTCTGCTCAACCCAATATACCCGTCTGCTCAACCCATGGGTTGAGCTAACTATCACGCACGTATACGATATGCCCCCGCCACCCCGCTCTTCCCTATACCCCTGCACATCCCTATACATTGACGGCTGCTGAACCCACCATATATCACACACGTTAACGATGTACCCCGCCACCCCGCCACCTATGACCACCGCTCGACATTGCCGCCGCGCGTGGAAAATAATTTAAAAATTTATCCGCCGGACCGGGATTCGAACCCGGTTCCCTTGCATGATAAGCGACCACCGTACCACTGGGCCGCCTACTCGCATATGTTTGAGAAGGTATATTCTATCTCATTTAACTGGCGTTTACGACGTCCGCTTACGTACGAGAGGTATAATTTCCCCCACCACTATACCATGCCAAGAACCGCCGCGAACGCGCGCGCGAGCCCTCCGGTGCGTTATCAGTTATCACAGTGACTTTAACACAAAATAATCTACTGGTATATTTTTAATAATAAACGTTCATCACATTGACAATACCACCACAACAGCCACCGGCAACAGCCCGATCGCGTACGTGCGCTACTATGCGTTATCATATTACCGTTAACAATTGTACATTACCGCGAGCAGTTCTGCCCTAAACTGATATCACTTATCACATTACTGTTAACAAATAATAATACGAGTGCACATGTATAACATGGTATCCTCATATAATTGTGCAACACACTACCTTTATTATATATATATATATACATGTAAATGCTAAACACATTATTTACCTAATCCCCACTACCAAACACATTATACATAACCCCCCACTACATACCATACATGGTTTAACAATTAATACTCGATCGTGTGAATATTCAGTCTCAGTTTTGATTTAACAGCGTCAAGTTGTAAGTCTCAGTATATTGCTATAACAGTGTTAATATGGCAGGATCAATAAGTGAAATGAAACGGGTATACAATTATGTTGCACCTACATCTCCACATGAACTCATGGATTGCTCTAATTTTACAATAGACTTTAAAAATCGCAAATTCTTGAACATCGGATTCGATCCAAAAGATCAGTTCAATATCGTTTTGCAAATAATTACACCGTCACGGTATGTAAAATTTTCATCAGACTTCTTGAAAAGAATTTATTCAGTCATGGGCCATGTTTTGTCACACGTTCTCGATCCTGTTGTAAAATATAAAAAAATTATTTTTTTGGAAGATGAAGTCGCTTTGCTTACAAGTATGGTGTATAAAGGAGAGCATGTGTTGGTTATAGAGTCAAAAACAACAAACGGATGTAGAATCATATTAAGTCGTAGAGATCTTATGACAATTCAAGATTTAGAGTGCGCCATTTTTGAAACAATTTCAAGAAAAAACGATATCGTAAAACCTATTATTTTAAATCAACTCGAACAAATATCCGAATACTTTAATACTGATTTTAATATTGATAAATCTGTGACACTGGAAGAAGTAAAAACAATAATCAAAGGAATTGATATCGAGTTAATCGCAATGCATGTACCGAAGCACAAACATAGTTTTATAAGCCAGATCAAATTATTCGCAACTGAACAGCTAGCTATCAATTGGATGACGAAGAATTTGCCAAAAGTAAGAATATATATATATATATTAAAAAAAAATTATTTAACATATGCATTCAATTAGGCTGTGGATGAAAATGATGATGATGAACTGATAAAATTTCTCCCGCCTACCCAGAGGAGGCCTGAAGCAAACGATTTAAAGGTAATAATATATAACTTTTTTTTATTATGATTACTTATTTTCTATTTATTTTAGTATTATACGGAGACCTTTGACGTGGAAATGCTGCAACCATCCCCACCAAGATACTCAAGTATGTCTCCATTAATGACATATAACGAAGACGATTTATCACAGTCACGAGTAATTTAAAATTAAAATAATAAAATATTTAAGTATTAAATGTAATTTAATTTTTAGGCAGCTGACGAGGAGAGAAGGTTCAAGGAAATAACCCATTCGTTGAATCCTGCTAAACTTCGGAAAACTAAACCAAAGGTAATATACATAAAAATATAATTTGTATGATGAATAATCATTCATTTTTTATAGGCTTTTGATGAGGACGACGGTCCGACATATTTTAACAGATGACCATCATCCCCACCATCTCTGTTCAACTGCAAGTCAGCAAAACCATCTACTCAGTGTATTACACCATTATTTTATTAATAATGATAATAAATATTCTATATATCATAACTTGTTTTATTTTCTTATACATATCCCCACCATGTAACTTACTGTAGAGTGGGGATTCACCCCTACTCTTAACGAACGCTCGGTAGCACTGTTTAAAAGGGCGACACACACTTATTTCAATACAGCCGTGAGTCTTCCGTCAAACGAGTCGTGTGCGTACCCGATTGCTAACTTATTTCGAGACAGTTTTGAACGTATCTAACAAAAATGGCTAATAATCTGATCGATTGTACTACATTCTTTATTGATAGCAATATTTTTATAAATATAGGATTAGATCCTGATTTTTTGTTAAATTGCGTTATATGCATCTCAAGTAACTCGCAGTGTGTTAAAATGAGTGTTGAAGTCTATAAATTACTAATTCATATAGCTTTTAACTACACAAATTTTTCACAACCATCTCATTTAATGCTGAAGGAGCTTATATTGGCCGGAATTGTTAAATACAACGGTGACAACGTTCTCTCGATAAAGTGTTTGCAACAGGATCAACATGTACAACTAACTAAAGCAAATGTTTCAAGGATCTTACAATTAAGTGATGCCGTGGAAGAAGTTATTCAGATGAAAAATATATATACACGGCCTAGTGTATTAGGTCAGTCCTGTGATATTTCAATGTATCTTGGAAAGGAAATACCGTTACCCAAATATACAAAAATAAGCAATGTTGAAGATTATTTATCCCGTATCGATGTCCAAGAATTGAAAAAACAACTTAAGTTAACTGGTCGTTGTTTCGTAGCAGATTTGAAAATTAAAGCAGTCAAACAATTGGCAAGGGGATGGTTAGCTTCTTCGATCGAAATTGAGGTAATACGATTTTATTTTTACATATTATTTTATACTAAAGAAACAAATTTTTTTTAGTCTGAAGTAACCAGACCGAGGACGAGGGCATTCGTAGCACGTAAAGCAGCCCGCACATTAATTTTTCGTTAAGAATGTAATATTTTATTGTAATATGTAATTTTTATATTGCTGTCAATAATTTATATTTAAAAACGAGGACCAATAATATAATATTTTATTATGTAATTTTTATATTGCTGTCAATAATTTATATTTAAAAACGAGGACCAATAATATAATATTTTATTATGTAATTTTCATATTTTTGTCAATTATTTAAAAACGCGAACCATTAATGTAATATTTTATTTTAATATGATATTTAATAACTTATATATATATATATATAATAAAAAAAACAACGTGATATTTAAAAAAAAGTATTTTTATTTTACAAATTATTTACAATTTCCTTACATCACCATTAAATGGACTATAAGTTATAATTTGATCGTGTAAGATGAGGCAAATCATGATTTATATACTACGCCACCGCCACCCAACAACGGTTTACATAATATTTTAAATATCCAAAAACACGCTGTGCAATGTGTGAGAGGGTGTGACAAGGGAGATAGATTCTTACTTTTGGCAAATTCTTCGTCATCCAATTGATAGCTAGCTGTTCAGTTGCGAATAATTTGATCTGGCTTATAAAACTATGTTTGTGCTTCGGTACATGCATTGCGATTAACTCGATATCAATTCCTTTGATTATTGTTTTTACTTCTTCCAGTGTCACAGATTTATCAATATTAAAATCAGTATTAAAGTATTCGGATATTTGTTCGAGTTGATTTAAAATAATAGGTTTTACGATATCGTTTTTTCTTGAAATTGTTTCAAAAATGGCGCACTCTAAATCTTGAATTGTCATAAGATCTCTACGACTTAATATGATTCTACATCCGTTTGTTGTTTTTGACTCTATAACCAACACATGCTCTCCTTTATACACCATACTTGTAAGCAAAGCGACTTCATCTTCCAAAAAAATAATTTTTTTATATTTTACAACAGGATCGAGAACGTGTGACAAAACATGGCCCATGACTGAATAAATTCTTTTCAAGAAGTCTGATGAAAATTTTACATACCGTGACGGTGTAATTATTTGCAAAACGATATTGAACTGATCTTTTGGATCGAATCCGATGTTCAAGAATTTGCGATTTTTAAAGTCTATTGTAAAATTAGAGCAATCCATGAGTTCATGTGGAGATGTAGGTGCAACATAATTGTATACCCGTTTCATTTCACTTATTGATCCTGCCATATTAACACTGTTATAGCAATATACTGAGACTTACAACTTGACGCTGTTAAATCAAAACTGAGACTGAATATTCACACGATCGAGTATTAATTGTTAAACCATGTATGGTATGTAGTGGGGGGTTATGTATAATGTGTTTGGTAGTAGGGATTAGGTAAATAATGTGTTTAGCATTTACATGTATATATATATATAATAAAGGTAGTGTGTTGCACAATTATATGAGGATACCATGTTATACATGTGCACTCGTATTATTATTTGTTAACAGTAATGTGATAAGTGATATCAGTTTAGGGCAGAACTGCTCGCGGTAATGTACAATTGTTAACGGTAATATGATAACGCATAGTAGCGCACGTACGCGATCGGGCTGTTGCCGGTGGCTGTTGTGGTGGTATTGTCAATGTGATGAACGTTTATTGTTAAAAATATACCAGTAGATTATTTTGTGTTAAAGTCACTGTGATAACTGATAACGCACCGGAGGGCTCGCGCGCGCGTTC